TGCCACTCCTGCTTTTATTATGAGCAGTGAGTATACGTAATACGATTTGTTTCATCTCTAAAATGGAGGTATTCTTAGGCGGGTTAGCCAATCTCATTTCTGTTCTTCAGTGTAAATTCAGTCATGTGATCCAATGGCAAAATCTTGGTTCCCAGGACAGGAAGGCCATACATACACAAGGGCTCTAACTATGACTTCCAGAAAGTGCAACCATGGGGCTCCCTGGGGAAGGCAAAGGTGGTGAAGTCTCTCATACTTTGGGCAGATTGTTGGGGGGGGGCAGTCCTTGGAGAGGGACATCATACTTGGAAAGGTGGAGGGTCAGAGAAAGAGAGGTAGACCCTCCACAGGATAGATTGATGGAGTGACTGTAACAATGGGCTCAAGTACATCAGAAATGATGAGGATGGTACAGGGCAGGGTAAAGATCATAGGGTTGCTATGAGTCATAGTAGACTCCACAGCACCTGACAACAACAATAACACCATAGGATTAATGAAGCTTCATCTAATGTTCTAAGTCATCCCCTTCTGTTTGGAGTTGTAGACGGAAGATCTGAGATCCAGCTCTGCTTGTGTCACTTGTTTGGCTCTGGAAAAAGCTTTTCAGGGGGACAGAGGTAATACCTGTGATTCCTAGAGATGAAGTAGCTGTGAAGAGCAAGTGAGATGATCTGTGGAAAATGGTTTAAATCACAAAAGTACAATAAACAGAATGGACTGGTACACTAATACATAGAATGGATATGCACATTATTCTCGGACAAGAAAAATTTGTCCTTTGGCTAGATTGTAGGACACACTTCATCACCTTTCTCTGTTATTCTTTGTGTGAATCGCTCCCTTGCTCCTCTTAGCAATGGTGTACGTATTATATTCTTAGTAACATTGATATGAGTGATGCTGCATGGACTGCTGGCAGAGGTCTAGAAGGAAGTGACCAGTCTCCAGTCAGAAGATGGCTGAGGGTTTTGGAGACCATTAGAACTAGGATGTCTGCGATTATTCACCATCTTCTGATGGCTGGTCCCAACTAGAATGACTCTGGGGTGATGTGTTATTCGGTTGTTCCTCGGTCTGCTTTTATTACTGTATTTTAGTGCCCTGTGCTCTTGCTCGCATTTCATTCCAGTACTGCATGTTTGTAAGGCGCTACAAGTGGTATCTGTGTGCAGTTTCCCTCTAGAAAGATAGTAAACTCTTCTTTTTAAAGTTTTTTTAGCAAGCTTTTTTTTTAGCTACTTTCTTCCGCAAGGATACACATTTCAGAAGCCTGTTTATTTCTTCTCATTCATCAGCCAACAAATGTAACCCTACAGTTTCATTGGAATGTTCTTAAGGAATAAGAAAAAGACTAACTTAGATCAAATGTAATTTATGGATAAATTTTTCTTTTTCATCAATCCATGCATTTTATTCTAAAATCAGGAAAATTAGAGTTTGAATTACTTAGATTAAAAAATGAATAGAATGATGTAATTTATTGCCATTATGCTGGTTCTCCCCGCCTCCACCCCCCCCCCCAATTAAGCATGTTAAACAAAAGTTAAGTGTACTAAATTGTAGATTTTATTGGCAGTAAAGGAACCCCTTTCTGTTTTCCAGCTTCAAATATACCAGTTTTTCCTCATCTGGAGTCTTTCTGGATGTTAATATCCATTGTGATTTTATAGTGAGTGAAAGTGTGTTGTCATCAAGTGAAATAAATAAATAAATACATATGACTATGTCTAGTTGACCATGATGCCTCTGTGATTTCTGTCCCTAATGTTTCCTGAATCATTGTCAAGGGCCTTTGAGTGAGCACTGAATGGATACTGTGTTTATGATTTCATAAATTGTGAGAACAGTCCAAGTTATCCTATTATTACCTATAAACTTCCTCCTTCCATTCTAACAGATTTAAATTATTTGTATTCTCATCCTATAAGTTTATCTGCTAAAACTATTAATAGTTTTTAGAATCTAAATGCCAAGACTTGAATCTGAGAGCCTGTTTTTGCCCGATACACCAGCCAAAGTGAAAGCTTTAAACAAACTTACTGCCCCCACATGCACAGTGAGTCATAAACTATTGCCTTTGACTCAGACTGGTCCTAAAGGGGATTTCCAAGGCTGTAAGCCCATGGAGGAGATTGACTATCAGGTGGAATTCCAGCTACTGGATCGAAACTGCCAGAGAAGCACAACCTTTGGGTTAACAGTGCAACCCTCTCTGAACTCCACCACCAGAGCAGAAGTGACTACGAATCCAATCATTTTTGGCTTAAAGACTGGTTTATTGAACTCCTAACAGAGGAATTCACGAATAAGGTAACACTTACACTTATGTATTGCATTTTTGTTCTCTGAATACTTTCTATATTCACAGAGAGATGCATGTAGTTATATATACAGAATGGTATGAAAAATCAAACCGTTTTGTCAACTAACATGGAAGAGAAGGTAAACATTTTGGCTATTACGTACACATATAAAAACCATTTATTAAAGGTGTTAAAACAGAGCAATGTGACCATCACCACAGCAATTCCTTAAGTGTGAAACCATTTCCATTATGATTGTGGAAAAGAATATGGAAGAAATGAGAAGTCTAGGAAATAATGATAAGTATAGGTCCTGTTTCTTAAAAATCATGAGGAATTTTGAAAACATCCAATAAGAATGAGTCTAAGCCTTCTTGGAGTGTAAGAGACAACATCAAATGTTCACAATTGAGGAATTTGAAGCTCAGGAAAGGAAGAGATAAGTTCAAGGTCACACTGCTGGTCTCTGTGAGGGTTTAGAGTTGAGCTTCTGAAACTTAGTCCCAGTTCCTCTGTACCAGCATGAATGGGTACTGGAAACATTCGAATCATGGAATCTTTTCTAAGAAATTTTGAATGTGATGGCTCAATCTTAGCCTAGCTTTCTTGGCGATCCATCAAGGAGTTTTACACACATTCTAGGGACTTTGTAGACCAGGTTTAGCTCATTCTACCCCTGGGAACAGACAGCACATGCATGGAAACCTAGTTTAGAGAAGAACTGCTAAATATTGTCCACTGATATTCTTTCTTTTTCTTGCCCATTTCAAGTTTCTTAGGAACAGAGAAGGAAAAGACTAGGTCATTGATCACAAAAACAGCTGCCCTTTCCTAGGAAAGCAAAGAAGAGAGATAAAGGAACTTCCCTAGATGAA